GTGTGTGTGTGTGTGTGTGTGTGTGTGTGTGTCTAAATTGTCTCTCATCCAGATGAGGAAGCCAGGGCTCACAGTTCTGAGCAATTTCCCCTGATCACAGAGCCAACAAAGAACAAAGTCAGAATTCAAACCCAGAGCCATCTGCCTGTACATGTTGTGCTCTTTGCTCTGTAACAGAATCTCAAATGTTCATCCACAAACCAAGGGCTAGCTCACCACAAAGTTTCTATAAGTCCACAGCAAAACAAGAACGACAGCCCAATATCATACATGTAGGGAGTGGGATCTGTGTCAGTATAAAGACACATTATTGGCAAGAACCATCTTTTATCCTGAGATTAAGTCCTTCCTATCTTTTTGGTATTAAAGTTTCTTTCCTGTATAATGAAAACAGGTGGTAATTTTTTTGATGGTTTGATGGTAATGTTTTCACTTGGTAAAATAAAAAGTGGGTACCCCATGTTAGTTATATAGGCCCTGTTTACGTAATATCTACATAAAAGGTTCCAATGAAATATTTATATATTATCAGCTAATCTCAAAATGGTGATTTCTGTGTCAGGCTGATACTTGGAAATGGAGTCTGTTGAGAGTAATAGTCTTTGGAAAGCAGTTATAGGATAGGAGGTAAGAGGGCAGAGAGGGAGAGGGACTGTTCAATATATAAGTGGTAGAAGAGATGGAGGAAAGAAACAATAATTTCACAGTTTTGCCAAGGACTTTGCCTAGATTTTTAAAAATATAATTGAGAATTAAAATTTGCAACTGAAAATTGCTTCTCTAAGTTTTCTTCTGAACTTTTATTTGCATATAATATTATTATCACTGTTAACCTCTGAATAGATATAAGTAAGATTTTAGATGTTACCACCACCCACCTCAGTGAACTAAGCAGACAGATAAAAAGAGAAAAATTTCTTTTTGAGATCTTTCTATGGAATTGTCATTATTTTCTCTTTAAAACTTATTTCTGTATTATTTCAACAGTGTCCCTATTCTCAGGAAAGATCTTGGCTCTGTCCTTTCTTACTTCCCAGACTTCTCCATCCAATGTAAATATCATACAAGCAGATCCCAACTTGTAACAGGTTTCCCTACAAATATTCTTTAGTAGCCGCTTGTCTGGAACTGAGACGCATTTTGCCATTAAACAATATAAACGGTGATTAAGTTCTCAGAATCGCTCATAAACGCACACAAAGGTAAGGAGCTATGATTATAACAGTTCAGCTTCGGGCCCTCTACCGGAGCAGGCGAGAGGGTCAGGGTGTGCGGGGCCTGCCACTCTTTTTCCTGAGCCCAGGGCTCCAGGAGGCAGAGTCCCACGCAGGCTGCTCTCTGTTGCCCTCCCGCTGTGGATCCCTCTGGGCCAAATGCCTCTCAGCGGCCTGGTTTTCTTTTGCATCCCACGCCCCCGGCGTTTTCAGCTTTGCAATGATCTTCTTCATTCCCTACAATTAAAGTTTCCATTTCCTCAGTACACCCGTCTCAGGGAAGCGGGACAAAGCAGAGCAACATCCCAATGAGCAAAGATTAACATGTGAACAGCCCCTACTTCCATTTGTTGTTGTAGTTGTTCATCCTCACGGGGGGGATATTTTTTCCATTGATTTTTAGAAAGAGTGGAAGGGAGAGAGAGAAACAAGAAACATCCATGTGAGAGAGACACATGGATCAGTCGCCTCCCACACGCACCCAGACCAGGGCCCCTGGGGTCGAACCTGCAACCCAGGTCCATGCCCTTGGCCTGGAATCAAACTTGCAACCCTTCCGTGCACAGGCCGGCGCTCTAACCACCGAGCCACGCAGGCCGGGGCTGGACTGCCCCTTTAATAAAGGACTCAGACTTCACATTTCAGATTCTGGAATAAGTGAACAAAAGAAATCTGGCTCCTGAGGAAGCCAAAGGAAAAAATGTTCCTTTTTCTCTCCATTTTCCCCCTAACTCCACTCCCGATACCTTGCAGCCATTCCTAATAATGCACGGGTGCCCCGTCCCCTCACATGGTGTTGGCGCAGCTGAAGATGGTGCAATACAGTAAGTGGGTCCCACTTTTATTTGTGCTGCAGCAGAGGTCCTAAAGGCTCTCCTGGGAAGGGAGGTGGGTAAGTTAGCTGTCACTCCGTCCTCAGAGCTCCCTAAAGCAGCTCAGTCGTGGAGTCAGGTTCAGCCTGCCTCGGTTGGCCTTGGCTTCTTCCCCAGTGTTCAACTTCGGCTGCTGTCTTAAGAGATCTGTCCCCAGCCTGAGAATTCATGGCCACAGGACAAGCACATTTCAGGAGAAAGTGAGTGTGATCTGTTGCCACAGGAAACCGCCCAGTGGCTCAGACACTAGGAAAAACTGCCTAACATTTTGGTGGGAGAGGACTTGTCCACCCTGGGAATGTCATCGCTGGGGGCTCTGTGCTGGTGAAGAAGGCGCTTTCTTACACTTTAAATGAAGTCTTCTGAAAGAGGTGCCAGTCTGCTCTGCCCACGTGCTGAACTCATACAGTGATTCATACGCTGATTCATACAAGTCACCGTCTTTTTTACAAGGCGGCTAATTTTGATCCCAAAAAGATGGATTAACCAATCTTGAGAGTTATCACTGAATGGTGGTTGCTGATCCAGAAAAAGAAACCTAATCTACTGGGTCAGTCATATAATCTTTCCAGAAGACAAAAGCAATTTAGTTCAAGTAAACTGATCTAAAAGGCGGAGCTCAGTTATTCCAGGTTTTCTTGTTTCTTATCTTGGCCTATTGATCTTTCACACGGCTGTGCATTATTTGCTCAGTCCCACCTCTATGGGTGCATAAGAGGAAGGCCATGAATAAAACCCCTACGAAGGATTTTTCACCTGTTTGGTGAACCGAGAAATTCATACATGGAATGGCGGTGAAGAAAGAGAGAGAAAGAAAAATTACGACAGTCAATAAAGCATGAAAAATATATCTAGAGTTCCTTTCGAAAGGCGATATTTTTTAAATTATGGGGAACCATGTTGCTATAATACACAGAACAACTAGTTCTAAGCAATATATCAGACAGTTTTTTTTAAAGAAATTCTTTAGAGAAAGCTAGTGGTCCCAGAATCTCAGGAACCTGGGAGAGTAGTGAGTGAGAGAGAGAGAGTGACAGTGAGAAAGAGGGAGAGAGAGAGACTGAGAGAGACAGAGAGGGAGAGAGAGAGAGATTTAAAGTAAGTCACAGGACAGACCTGGCTAAATATGCCTGACCAGCATGATGTCATCTACAGTCAATAAAAACCTCTTTTATGAAATGACACTTCTTCCAGCTATGATGAACGAAAAAGGAAAATGGAAAAAGATTATCCAAAGAACACTGAAGAGGAATTTTCAGGAGTTAATGGACAAATAGATGCTGCTGTGGAATTAAATGGTGAGTGTTTTCACCAAAAACTTTCTTTGTGGAATTGTAACAAGCAATCTGGTCTCTGCTTCAATATACCTGAAAACGGGTTTCCTAATGGGAGTCCTTGAATCTTATCTTCGGTCCTGAGTCCCTTATAAATTTAGTCACCAGATTAACCACTAGAAAGAATAATGATAAAAGGTTTGCCATTGTGATTCTCTCTCTGAGAAAGAAAAGTTTTAAAAGTATAGCTTCAACCTGTTAGCTGTGTTATAAAGTTTACCTGGTCAAAGTACCATTTTTACCTTTAAAATGTAGATATTCTCAACTTTCCCAGTGTCTTTCCCCACTCCATCACTCAACTCCTGAAATTCAACACATAGTTTGGAAAGTTGAATTGAATTGAATTGGGTTGAATAAATTTAATTGAATATTTTGAACCGGTCAGTCAACGCATTCTTTTTAAGAATATAGCACAGAGCTAGACACCTCAGAAATGTAAAGACAGTCCCAGAAATTGTCTCTGCTCCGGCAGAATGGTTAACATATTTGGGTAATGCTCCTTCATCCAACACAAGTGAAATTACTAGAAAACAAGACAACCTATAATTTGATATTGAATTGTGTGGTTGTCTTCAAAATAATGGCAAGAGGTGATCTGAGAAAGAAAAGATCAGAGGCGGCCTTTGTAGTTGGAGATTTCATGGTAGTACTTCAGCCCGGTTTTAAAGAATGGCTAGAGGTTAGGCTAGGGAAAGGAAAGGGGGGGGACTTCCTGGAGGGGAAGAGCCTGAGCAGAAGCACTAAGCATCATTGAACTTGACCCACTGATGACCCCAAGGAGAAGGCTGGACCCCGGCTGAAAGAGAGAAAAAGATGGGAGATGATTGAGAAGTTGGAGGTATCAGGTTCTAGGGCTCAGTGAGAACTGGGCAGAGGACTGGCTAACTGCCACCTGGCACATTCCTCATTCCCCTCTGGTGCCACCTCAAGAAAACAACAGTTACGAATCCTCCCATTTATAAATCTGCAAGTCATTTTCAGTAACCGTGATTTCAACTTTGTCTCTTTTAGGCAACATTTACTTCTTTTCGGGACCCAAAGCATACAAGTATGACATAGAGAAAGAAGATGTGGTTAGTGTGCTGAAGTCTAGTTCCTGGGTTGGTTGCTAATAGGAAGGTTAGTCTTTCCTAAGACATGGAGAAGATGGCAAGCAGCTGGTAACTGGTCTGAGGACTAAAGTGGAAGTTAGGGTAGAGGTTCTTCCCATGGCCTTCGATTCTAAGGGCAACTTAGAGCTCATTGAAAATCATTATGCTTCCAAATTTTTTTCATAGTTGTGGATTCATAATTTTAATCCAAATGAGAAATTCCTATGTGGCCAACTTCACACGAAATCAGAATCAGCACAGTGTACTCTTCAGTTAGACACCCACTAATTTTTTTTCTTATGTAATATGCTGAAGCACATTGATAACTTTGGATTTTATTTCCAAGAAGAGCCTACTTGTGGATTCCCTGGCATGTGTTATAATTTTTTTGATAGGAAATGTCCTGACCATGCAAATTATAATAATTCTTCAGAAGTAGTGGCTTTTGCGGCCTTAGCATTTGTTATGATGAATATAAATTTGTCCTCCTGTACTTTAAACATATCACAAACAAAATACTGTGTAAGTTCTGTTTCTCATTGCTTGTTTGCTTATTTGTTTAACTATGGGTACTCACTGGTCTTTGAAGTAGGTTAGGCAGGAGAACCTATTCAAGTGGATTTTCATATGAGGCAAGGGATATGTATTTTGCAACAGGAAAACTTTTAACAAAAGCCAATTTAAATGTTGTATAAGAACAATTTCTCTTTTCACTTAATATTTACTAGCTTCTATCACATTTTACTTGGCCATGAATTCTGTATACCTATAAAAAACTCAAACCTTGAGATAGTGTTGTGAGTATACAGACCCGGAATAAGTAATAGTGGTTCACTCTGTTTCCTGCTTCCTGACAATAAAATACCCTCAATGAAACTCACTAAGTGAGGCTCTTATGAACAGTTTTTCATTTAAGGGAGTTCATCTTATGTTTCAGTTTTTCTTACTTCAAGCTAAACCTTTTTTTCCCCTACCTAGTCATTAATACAGATAAAATACAGCTGCCTCTTTCTTATGCTATTTTTTGAAAAAATCTTACCCTCTAGAATGTAAGGATTCTAAAGCATGTTAGTGGTTCTGAAATTAGATGATAAAATGCATTTAATATACTTCAGAGACTGCCTAGAACATCTGCAGTGTTCAACAGATGTTAGCTGTTATTGTTACCATCACTCATTCATTTGTTTCATACACTCACTAAAACACTTAGTATCAGGAAGGTATGGGGCAGTTATTCAAGGTTACTCTCAGTTTTCCATTGGGTTTCCTTTATTGAAAGTGGTTATTTACAGCCTACATGTTGAATCTTTGTTGAAGAAAAGTCTAGTGTGCTTGTTTTCCAGCATCCACTGCCTTTATAGAGTCAGAAAAGTCACTTTTGCAAAGCCATCAGCTGAAAAGAACTTCTTAATATCAATAAACAAGGAGGGAAAATGGCCTGGCACGTCCTCAAAGGCTAAACTAGAGTTACCACACATACATAGCCCGGCAATCCCAGTCCTAAATGCATACCTATGAGAAATGAAAACATGTCCACACAAAAATGTGCACACAAACGTTTATAGCAGCATTAGCCATAATAGCCAACACGTGGAAATATGTCCATCAAATGATGAATGGACTTTTTAATGTGGTAAATTCATAAAATAGAATATTATGCAACAATAAAAAAGAATTAATACATATTACAACATGGATAAATCCTGAAAACATTACACTAAGTGAAAGAAGCCAGACACAAAGGCCACATATTGTATGATTCTATTTATATGAAATGTTCAGAATAGGAAAATCTATGGAAACAGAAAGCTGACTAGTGCATGTCAGGAGCTGGGGGAGAGGGAATGGGAGGTGACGGCTAATGAGTATGGGTTCTTTGTGGGGGGAGTGAAAATGTTCTAGAAGTGATGGTGATGGTCGCACAACTCTGTGAATACATTAAAAGCCATTAAATTGTACATTTTAAATGGATGCACTGTATGGTATGTGAATTAATCTCAATAAACCTGTTGTCTTCCTTGTGTCCAGCCCAGGAACATGCACATTTTAGACACCTCACTAAATAAAATGTTACTGAAAACAAAAAAGCATGTGCTCTGAGGCCTGGCTGAGTTGAATTCAAATCCCAGATCTCCTATTTTTAACGGTGTGATGTTGGTCAATTCCCTAATCTCTGGCTCAATCTTCCCCTTTGTAATATTAGAATAAGAATAGTTCTTATCTCCTAGGGATAGTTAGAGACTTAAATACAGTGATGGGCAAAAGTAGGTTTACAGTTGTTCATATGGAAAATAATACAGTGATTAATAAATAATAAAAGAATAAACTCTGTGCTTCACGTACTCACAACTCTAAACCTACTTTTGCCCCACCCTGTATATGAGTCAAAACATGCAAAGCTCTTAGATAGTCCTTGGTACCCTACAAGGGGTTCTATAATTGTTTTCAAAGCAATTAGAATTAATTTTGTTTTAAGATATTTTGGAGGATTTGTATATATCCCTTGAGACAGCCAAAGACGTGATGAGCTGTAGCACCACAAGGATTGATAATCACTGACCTAAATTCCGCCCCCCAAAATTCCAAATTAAGTTAATAATCAAATAATATACTGACTGTGGTTAACCCCCCCAAAATCATTCTTACAAATCATCATTTCTTTTTTGGCCCCCAGATATAGTTGCATATATTTTGGAAAGATGTAGTCCTCTTAATGAATAAAAAAATAGTGATTATGTTTGTGACAAAACTCAATCAGAACATTTATATGCTCATTTGAAACCATTTTGTGCAGAAATAATTTACAACACAGATTCCTCAGTTGGCTTCAGAGTAACTGAGTGCAAAAATGTTTTGTGAAATAACAGTTTTGGGCACAGAGTGGTTGAACTGCTCCTTTGGGGATCAAGGTTTGCATTCTGATGACCTGTATATATTGTCCTATTAACCTCAGTGATGACTATTTATAGGTGGCCCAGAAGCACTTGGAAAACACCAGAGAGGTTAATGGAGGAATGTATTCACCTGGGTGGGGAGCTTCCTTAACAGCTCAACATTAAATTTTCTGTGCTGGAACCAAGCTCACTTCCATTTAGCCTGGTGTCAAGTGGCAGAGCCAACTTTGTCTGCCAGGTCCCCTGTTGTGTTCTCAGATGTTTATTTTGAAGCCCCTTAGACTTCTGCTTCACATAGCAGATGGCAAACGAACTATGCAGTCTTTTATTTGGAATTCTGTGTGATATATTTTTAAATTATCACATGATCTTCAAGTGCTCTCATTTATATGTTATCCAGGTGTTTTCTCTTTATTCCTGTTTGTAGTCATTTTCTTCTACAGGCAATGATATTGAAGGTTCTTTGTGAATATTTATGGTAAAATTACCCAATGAAGTGCCATTTGAGAAGAAATACATAATGCTGACCAACAGGCTGTGGTTTTAGACTCCCTATGAAGTATAGGAAGGCCTAGGCCAAAGATTTTCTGCATTTCTCCCATATAGGCCTGAGTAAAAGGAAGAAGCAGCATCTTCTGATCGCCTTTCATCTCCTGAGTCTGTCCTTGGCCCCATTACCATCCCCAAGTGGTTTATCAACATGACCAGACTAAAGTGCATCCTACTACACTCGAAATGCCATGATCCCTGATCCCTGATCCCTGTCTTGCTCCCACCACCTGGACTTGAAACTTCAATAGAAGAAGAATTGGAAAACTTATTGGTAAATAAATTGTAGTAGGAACCTAGTGAATGAATTTGGGGTCCAAAAGAGGACCCTCTTTAATGCACATATCCTCATTTTAATCTCTTCTCCATTTATCTTATCCAACATTCTTTCCCTGCATTCAGCATATCATTTTAAATGGTCAGGGATGAAATGCACCTTTTGTTGCACAATGCACCATGTTGTTCAGAGAAGATAGGAGTGATCAGAATAGAAAAGGACTGGAGGAAGTCAAGAAGAAAACGGTTGCAAAAGGCCACTTAAGAAATGTAAATTTAGCCTGGCCAGGCCAGGCTCAGTGGTTGAGCATCCACCTAGGATCCAGGAGATCAAGGTTTGATTCCCAGTCAGGGCACATGCCGGGGTTTCGGGTTAGATCCCCAGTTGGGGGCGTGCAGGAGGCAGCCAATCGCCGAGTCATCATTGATGTTTCTATCTCTCTCTCCCTCTCCTTTCCTCTCTCTGAAATCAATAAAGTTATATTAAAGAAAAAAAGTAACATTTAAATCCATTTTAGATCATCTTCAGTGGGGGAAAAGCTCCCAAAAATGTCTATATAAATAGCAATTTGTTTATTCTTGGAAAATCCCAGGCCTTTAATGCAACGATAAATAATGTAAGCTTTTGAGGCTGGATAGTAAATGTGTTTACAGCTGCCTTTATAAAGGATGGGGTATCAAAAGTCCTATTAGAGCACATTCCACGTGAATTGAAGAATGCCCAATGATTGTAGTGTCACTGCTAAATTTTAGACATATTTCCATTAATGAATTGGCAATTTCTGGAAGTTGATATTATCAACTGTTTCTTTTGAAAGACTTCACCTCTTCCCTAAAATAGTTTTATCTCCACAAATAATTCAACTTTTTTGAGGAATCTATGTACCCAATCAGATCTACCTTGGGCATGCATTTTTAATTTATTTAAAAAATTTATTAAGCATTTACTTTATGTCAGCACCAACCTAGGCTCAGCAGCTCTCTGGCGTGAATTTCTACCCTCAAGGAGCTTACATTCTAAGGAAGAGACATTCGATGTGAATAAATAGATCTAGATACAAGGAAAGACATAGGGAAGAATATACTGAGTCGGGGATGCTTATGTGGGTAAAGGGAAGGAAGGTGTCTCTGGGTTTCGTGAAGAGGCGGCAGTAAGTGTGAGACCTCAAGGTAGGAAGGACTTGGGCATATCTGAGACGCAGCAGGGAGGTCAGTATGGCTGGAGGCAGTGAGGGAAGGGAGAGTGGAAAGAGGTGAGGTCAGAGAGGAAGCAGCCAAACCACAGCGAGCCTGTGGCCACCGAAGGGGATCAGATCTCATGCTAATGAGATAAGAAGGGGTTTTGAGCAGGCGGGTACCATGATCCCCCTTAGGTTTTAAAGGGTCACCCTGGCTGCTGGCTGGCGTACAGCTTGTAAAACCGCAGTGAGCGGGTGCAAAGACCAGACAGTGGCATTTTCCAGGGTAGAGATGATGGCACGGACCAAGGAACTATCCAGGAAAATGCTAAGAAT